TCCCTTAAAGGGAGCATCCGAAAGAAGAACAACAACAGATGTTCATATTGTTATGCACTGATTTCAGAATGATCAGATATAACTCTGATACCAGCTATATGACCACCATATCAGTGAACGATCTTGTACATTTGAGTGAGTGTTTGACAGTAACAGGTGCTTCATATTAAGACTTTATTCATAAGTACCAAAATGCCCTTGCTATTTCTTGAGGTGTGTGTGTGTGTGTTTTCATGAACCTACAAATTTATCAGCACTTATAAGAAATAAAAAAAAGCAGTCATGAAAGTCATATAATTAAGGGAGGAAGTTGAGTACAGCTGATGCTATCTGCTTTATAACTCCTAAAGAATAGCAATGATGTCCAACCGTGCTTATACTGTATTATGTCATGATGTCATTCAGCCTGGTAGTGGATCTTTCTCAATTTGCATTTTTGTTAAAACAAGTCTCTAAAAACTGCACATGATGAGATGCACATTATGAGAGTCAAGCTTTCAGTTAAAGCAAATAAATGCATTACACTTTCTTCAAATTAAAAGGCTAAGTTTCAAAAACCATTTCATGAGACAACATTAATAAGAATAAGAGATCATCTATCAATGCGGACTGCCATGGCACAAGATAATCCTAATTATATTCTTAACACTCTATGACAGACGCATGACAAAACAATGACTCTTTGTGTGTGTGTGTGTGTGTGTTTAAATTGTATGTGTGTATTTAAATTGTATGTACATATTAAACCTAAGTGTTCATTTTAAATCTCTTTCTGGTGAAGTTCATATATAAAAACGGCAACAGATGAGTCTACTTAGATTAGTTTTGAGGGAATCAGGCTCTGTCTTCCATGGTCCTTATCCATCCTGCTGACCTGACCCAGTTGATTACAGGAGTAAAACAACTACATCAGTCATTACAGAATGTGTAGGAAATGTACTTCTCTAGCATTCACTATGGCATCTAAATATGATGACTTTACTGTCACTGGTATGGAAAAAGTAATATACAAGCTAATGCACGCTTACCTGTGCGACATTCTGGAGAGACGACTCCATACCAGGGCCGGACTGGGACACAATTTCAGGCCAGGAAATACCACACCCACCCAGGCCATCCTATGCACCCAAATAAATTTAGAAACCATACAACCTTATTTTTTTCCCTCTAAATTAAATTTATTACACAGCATGACCATCATAATAAAGCATTTACAATTAACCTTGAAGTAAAGCAGATCTTATATCAGATTACATGAGTCTGCACAGAGCATTATACCAAGCATTTATGCCAGAAATCCAAAGCTGCTATTTCCTCTCTACTTCTCACTCATAAATGTACTCTAACTGCAGAAGAGAGGTTAAACAAAACTTTCAGCTTAGAAGGTCAGCAGATTGCGCAAGACTTCGCTGCTCTCTGCAACTTTATCAATGATGTTGTCAGTGTCAAATCCAACAAGTATCTCCCTCTCAGTGGACATTAACATGAAAGCCTCAAGGTGTTCCTGATTAATTGAGGTCCTAAGTCTGTTCTTCATAAGCTTCAATGTGGAGAAGCTTCCTTCACAGGCTACTTGTGTCACAGACAATGTCAACAAAAATTTGTAGCCCAGTCCAATAACATGATAGGCATCAGTGAGAAGGTTGTATTTAGACAGCAGGATATGGCAACATATTGCACAGTTTTTGCAAGTTGAACAAACAAAATAAACAAACATAATTTTCTAAAACTTAAAAATTAGTACAATAATGACTACATTATGACAACATATTTTTTAAAAAATCATAATAAAATGTTATTGCATTTTTATAACATTTTATGATATTTGTTCCTGTTTGCACTATAGCTCTTGTCTCCCTGCTCCCTTCCTACCTATATAAAAGAATGTGAATATTTGTCTGCAAAAATACGCATGTAACTTTACAATAAATAGTATTATTGTCTTTTAGCGTATAGTATTTTAAGTGATGATAGTAGGGGCGCTACCGCTAATAAGCTATTTGCTAGTTCAATACTTGCGAAGAAAAAACTACAATATTTACAGATATTGACCTGCACTTGAAGCCCTGAACAGAAATTTTGCAACATTTCGCTGCTTCTTCTTGAAGCGCTTTCTTCTTCCGTGCCCTTTCCCTTTCTGCTCCACCTGGCCGCTTTCTCTCCATCCTCGCAAGTCTCTCTAACCGCTTTGGCGGAGGCGCGGAGAGGACCGAAATCGAACCGTAACATTGCCAGTCAAAACTAACAGATTTAGATTCATGAATGGATTGATGTTTTTATTGTTATTTAGTTAATTATTTGAATGCTGAATTCGGAAATGATCACCTTAGTGCGTGGGCAATAATATAAAATAAATAAAAATTAAAAAAAAAAAAAAAAAAGGCTTGCTGGCAACAGGCCAAATCAGTCGCCAGGCCACCGGGAATCCTCCCGGTGCTCCCGATGGCCAGTCCGGGCCTGCTCCATACCCTACGTAGAAGAAAGAATCGGGTCTATTATTTTTAGGATAATAAGCCACAATGTAGTATATAGTAGAATAGACAAGTCTTTATATTTCTGTAGAAAAATCATGCATTGAAACTGCAGTGCAGTCAGAGGAAATAGAGATTTGACAGATCTATGGATTAGTCTCTGGTACACAAAGTATATATTTGCAGAAGTAATATACAAAAATAATTATTAGAATAATTCTTCTATGATAAAACAGTATTTATATTGTATAGTTCATGACAGATGACTCAGGCTACTTACTACAAGCATTTATCCATATCTAAGTGTAAAATGCATGCATAATGGTACGCAATAGCTTCCCATCATTATTGAAAACATTACTATTAGAATGAAGCATAGCATAGACAGATAAGAAAGATAAGCATAATTATATAAGGGCCAAAATGTCAGTAAAACATACCCTTATTAATTACTAGTTGTTTTCTAGTGGCCATTTAAATTACCACATGCTTTGTACAAATGTAAGAATAAGAATACATCAACTGTTACTGTATATTGTGTAAAGCATGTAAAATTGTGCACATAAAAATGTTTAATTGGATTTTATGAATATAAACTTTGGAAAAACAGATCAGCTCTGCCATAAACTTTTAGCAGACAAAATTATACAAGTTCTGCATAGTGCATAGATATGAACATGACATGACATGAGCGGAAATTAAAAAGCATATGGCTATTTTCAGCAGCAGCATATAGAAAAGGAGAAAACCACAATCTTCCCCTTCATTAATCCAAATTAGACTGTAGGACTCTGTATGTCATATCTTGCTTTCTTCTCCATAATTTAAGACACTTGGGTCAGGTTTAGAGAGAATAGAGTTTTCTGCAAGGGCATGTCCAATTGTATATTCCTTATTTTTTCTTGGAAATAAATGCAAATACTATTGTTCCTAATTGTACAGTATCCCAATCCAGGTGTTAGCTAATCTGTTATGAACATATTCACTGCTAATCTCATTTACTGAAAATCTCTTTTACTGAAAATGAATTTGTCCTTTTACACCAGAGCCATCGTCATCATCAGTGCCAGAGTAGCAATGAAATCACACACAATAAAAACT